AATCAGTTTCTAAATCTAAATATCAATATTTAATAAAATAAAATTTTAAAATTTAAATTAAGTTTTAATTAAATAAAATGACATAATTTAATATTAGAACTCTAATTTTTTTAAGTAATCAAAATTGATTTATTTTTTTCCCAATATATATTAATAAATACAACTTTATCAAAATTATAAATATGAAATCAATTTTAAAAATTAAATGAACTAAGGGATCATGTTATTGTCGAACCCTATAGTGTTAGTGAAACTCTTTTACCATAAATAAACGGAAAAATTGGAATAATATTTTAAAAAACTCACAAGCTCTATTTGGTTTAGTTGTTAGGAACAATTAATAGTTATAACTGTTAGATAATAATAAAAAAATAAATAATATCTATTACTTAATAATTTACAATTAATCTATAGGTTGATGTTGTTAAACACTTTAATTAATTAGTTGTTTTTTTTTTTTTTAAGCTATAGGTTGATCACATGATTTGCAAAGCCAAATACAACCATGATTAACGTGGTATAAAATTAGGTAAAATGCAGTATTTTGAGGTGGTATTAAAACTTTATGTTATGGTGTGATAATAACCCTAGAGGAAGTATCCTCCTTTTTTTTCTCTAATGTAATGAATTTCTTTTGCTGATTGAATAGAATTCTTTTTCTAAACAACAATTACATTTGGACTATGATACATTTATCCTCTCCATCTACACCCTCCATCATACACCTTCACTTTTTATTATTTAATCCGTTATCTCCAAATGTCATTTCTTACTCTTCATGCTTTCCTTTCTCCCTATTTTTGCTTTCCTCATGCTCTCCTTGCTTTCCTTTCTCCCTCTTGCTGTTCTGATTGACCTGGGTTTGAAATGTTGGAGGAAAGTTTCCGATTTTCTTATCAACCAAACAACATACTATATTATCAAATTTGTAAAAATTCTAACAAATTCATTATATTTTCCCTTTTTCCTTCTTCCTCTTTTTTTTTTTTTTCTCTCCATCTGGAGAGCCCAAATCGAGAACCTGGTTTTGGTTCTTCATTTGGGCTCTCCTTGAGAACTCCAGGAAAACCCAGATCGGGGTTCTCCTCAACAGATCAAGGAGGGAGGAAGAGAAGGAAAAAGAGGGGAGGAGAGGGAAAGAAGAACAAAAGGAAAGGAGGAAGAGGGGAAAAAAGGAAGAAGGTTGAAAATCAAAGAACCAGTGCTGGGTGAAAAGGATAGCTGCTGGGTTAATGGAAGAAACGGAGAGAAACGGAAACAGAATGAGTGTGTGACGGAGGGTGTAACGGGAGAGTGTGTAAATATCATTTCCCATTACATTTACATAGTACAAATGTGAAGTGCACACACATTTGAATTACAAAATATTGTGAGACTCTTTTATAAAAAAAGAAAAAACTATATATAAATATATAGAAATTAGTACATATCAATATCGATTCATAAAAAAAAAAAATTGATTTTGATTTATCAAAAAAAAAAATCGATTCACAAAAAAAGTTGGAGTTTCAACTTATATTTGAAAACTGAAATCTTAATTCAAAA